TTTTCTCATTTTGACATCAGAGAGAAATATAATCTTGATATTTCAACTTTAATTTCAAGAATTAATCAGTTATTTGATACAGGTAAATTATTTCAAAATAAAATAGTATTATTTTAAATAATATGAATCAAATTTCTTTTTTAGAGAAAGTAGCAAATTGCCTTAATTGCACACGATACAAATATTTAAAACTACGTATTCTCATAAGTAAAAACTCATATATCATTAATACAGCAAAAAAATGCATATAACGAACATTTTAAATATACTAAAGCGGGATAAAAAAAAGGATAGGGTTCAACAGGGTGCAATTGTATTGTACGATAAAACGCGAACCGAAAGTGGGCGCGATTTTTTGTATGCAAATTATTTGTATGCAAAGTATCATTCATCAAATACGAAGCTAAAAGCAGCCGAATAAGACAAATATAAGAATTTTTTTGCATTTTCTCATTTTGACATCAGAGAGAAATATAATCTTGATATTTCAACTTTAATTTCAAGAATTAATCAGTTATTTGATACAGGTAAATTATTTCAAAATAAAATAGTATTATTTTAAATAATATGAATCAAATTTCTTTTTTAGAGAAAGTAGCAAATTGCCTCAATTGCACACGATACAAATATTTAAAACTACGTATTCTCATAAGTAAAAACTCATATATCATTAATACAGCAAAAAAATGCATAAACGAACATTTTAAATATACTAAAGCGGGATAAAAAAAGGATAGGGTTCAACAGGGTGCAATTGTATTGTACGATAAAACGCGAACCGAAAGTGGGCGCGATTTTTTGTATGCAAATTATTTGTATGCAAAGTATCATTCATCAAATACGAAGCTAAAAGCAGCCGAATAAGACAAATATAAGAATTTTTTTGCATTTTCTCATTTTGACATCAGAGAGAAATATAATCTTGATATTTCAACTTTAATTTCAAGAATTAATCAGTTATTTGATACAGGTAAATTATTTCAAAATAAAATAGTATTATTTTAAATAATATGAATCAAATTTCTTTTTTAGAGAAAGTAGCAAATTGCCTCAATTGCACACGATACAAATATTTAAAACTACGTATTCCATAAGTAAAAACTCATATATCATTAATACAGCAAAAAAATGCATAAACGAACATTTTAAATATACTAAAGCGGGATAAAAAAAAGGATAGGGTTCAACAGGGTGCAATTGTATTGTACGATAAAACGCGAACCGAAAGTGGGCGCGATTTTAATCTAGCGCGCACTTTGGAGACCGAAAGTGAAATATTCCGCTTCTTTTACACCGCGAGGTTGCAATCGGGCGATGCATTTAGCGGAAGGGAACCCCATATCGGAGCTGCCGCGTTACACGAGATATTTGGCTTCGTTTCTACCTCTCCTTCTTTACGCTCCATTTCGCTGCCACTTTAGCGGAGAAACGTATTAAGTCGGGAAATGAAGGTTGTAAAGTCCCGGGTAGCTTTTTACCGCGACAATCACACTCGGCAGGAAGTTTCGCGCTCAGTTCTTCGAGCGATTGAACGCACAAGTGTGGGAACTTATTCGTCTCGCAATAGCGCGACTTGTCAACCTCTCCGAGCGGAATGTCTCTTAATGTCTCTCTCTTGCTCTCTCCGGAGAAACTTGTATCAATATATGTATATGTTAAGGGAGAAACGTATTTCCTCAAAATTACTTTCTATTTCGATTCGAAGATTCGATGTAGAAACAATAGTTTGAATTGCACAAAATACTCAGTTAGCTTACTTACACAGTTGTAGAAGGATGAGATTGCGAGAGAGCTATTTTTTGATTTATATTTTGCAAATTAATAAAAAATATATTAAAGATCAATAATGGATGTCTTTCCTCTCCATCTTCTATTTTTAACAGCTAATAAATATAATGATAAAGTCACGAACTAATATTTAAATTAATATTTAACAACGTCAAGAGGAAAATAATGCTTCCAATTTATTATTAAATAATGATTATAGAGTTATCTTTCATGTACCTATACACAGAGAGAATTTCTCTTAGAATTTTCTCTTAGAATTTATTCTGATGTTAATAGTTTTGATTATGCTAAATATTAATCAGAGAAAATTCTTCCAACACCATATTGTTCCATACGATTACCATGGGTTTCGGGATAAATTCTAAGAGAAAATTCTAAGAGAAATTCTCTCTGTGTATAGTTATATGAAAGATAACTCTATAATCATTATTTAATAATAAATTGGAAGCATTATTTTCCTCTTGATGCTGTTAAATATTAATTTAAATATTAGTTCGTGACTCTATCATTATATTTATTAGCTGTTAAAAATAAAAGATGGAGAGGAAAGACATCCATTATTGGTCTTTAATATATTTTTTATTAATTCGCAAAATATAAATAAAAAAATAGTTCTCTCGCAATCTCATCCCTCTACAACTCATGATAGTACGGTAATGATGTCTTGACACGAAAAGCCCGCATTGCTTTCTGATCACGTCATTACTCGCAATGATTGCCTGACACGAAAAGCCCAAACTAATCCCACTATCGTGATCTAACGATGCTCCAGCTACTCTGCAGGTTTCTTTTTAAAAAAATCATTTTTTGGAACTTCTCGCTTCTTTTCATATTATAACGCATACAATCTTTTTTGTATGTTACATCATTAGTTATTTTACCTCTTGAACAGAGAAATGGGGAGGATTAATGGATTCAATATTTTCGTACAATAAATATTCGTCCGAACGGAATCATTTAATAACGGATTATTTCGGGACATATATAACTTTTTTGTTTAGTCTACATCTACATCATGAATGTTATATTCGGTAAACGATGAAACCTCCCTTCGGTGAAACCCCTCGAAAGTTTGGGGAGCCGAGATTATACGTGGACGCACGTGGTTTTAATCGATTAATAAACGGCATCAGCTCGCACCTGTGTCGCGGTAATTAAAGAGAGGGTAAGTGATTTCCGGCATATACGAGCGGTTGTTCTTTGCGAGCAGATTCGTAATATTTCCCCGTAAACGCTATTAACGCGCACGATTTTACATCCGCGAAATTATATCGGAACGTAATGTTTTTATACCGAACGTCGGAATGTAATTTTAATGAGTCGAATTAACGAGAGAATCTCGTTACGATTTTTTCGATGTCTCGTATTTTCTATATTTCCGATATTATCGGAGAATGGGCTTATACCGGTACAACGAAATATCTTGGAGGGGGAAAAAGCCTCTTTCCGCTTCGTTAATTTATTCTACAACGAAATTTTGTATAAATTATTCATACAAATCAATAGAATAAGGCCGCAAAAATATATATGCGATACAAATGCGTGATTAAATCAATATTTCCCTCATTTCACAGCGCGTTACATTCAGTGATGGGTGAGATACATTTAAAATGTATCTCGATACGTGTAAAAAAATATATCTAGATACAGATGCTCAGATACTTTATTCGTTAGTCTTAACACGTAAAAAATGCCTCAAAGATATCGTCACTCAAACTATTTCGCCATGGTACTAAAATTTGACCAATGCTTAATAATCGCTCAACCGGTGTTGATGACGATATGTTGATAACTTGCAGTCTTGATCTTTTAAAAATTTAAAGAATTGGGCTATTCAAAATATATGTGAAAATGTATCTGCAAATGTATCTGAAAAAAGCAATTCAGATACCATGTTTTGTATCTAGATACAGATATGGATACTTCAATTTTATAATATATCTCAAATACAGACTTAGATGCACAAAATGTATCTAGATACTACACAGAGAGAATTTTCTCTTAGAGTTTACCCTGAAAATCATGGTAATCGTGAACAATATGCTATTGGAAGAATTGTATAAGACTTAGTATTTTACCACAATAAAAATATTAATATCTAACACAATAAGATATAAAATACACTCGATTAATTTTACTACGTATTTATTAATAATAAGAATATTTTTAAGTCAGCTCCTTAATTTTTAAAACCACAATCTACACTTCATTCATCTCGACCAATAGAGCCAAACGCGATGTTATTGCGACAATTAAGAAAGAAAGAAAATTTGAAAACTAAGGAATTTGAATCCTATGGTTGGGATTCGATTCCCGATTCAGCCGACTTTCGGACCAATATTTTTCTCGCCTATTTCTTTACAGGGGATGTTAAGAGAAAGGAACAAGGAGAATTTCTGAGATCCCAACCATAGAATTCAAATTCCTTAGTTTCCAAATTTTCTTTCTTTCTTAATTGTCGCAATAACATCGCGTTTGGCTCTATTGGTCGAGATGAATAAAGTGTAGATTGTGTATTTATTAATATTTTTTATTGTGGTAAATATTAATCAGAAAAACTCTTATAAGATTCTTCCAATACCACATTGTCCGCGATTACCATGATTTTCAAAGTAAATTCAAAGAAAAAAATTCTCTCCGCGTACTCAACACTGGTTACTGGTTATTTAAACCGGTCACCATCTGGAGCCTTTTTCGCGCAATCACACACAATAAGGGGCTCTCTCTCTTGATACATATATTATTAATTCCACATCACTTTCGCACACGACGTGCGATTCTGCGGATGGTCTCGCGGCCGGGGCCCGTCACTACATCCCCCACCGTGGGATTTCGGTTCTGCTAAGCATGTTGACAACGTGTAGCAGCGCGCGTTGGATGCTGCGGCCTGCGGACCGCGCGCACTGATCAATATGGAGGGGAGCCTGGTCGAAGCTGGGCGGGAGGGTAGTTTCAGGGGATGCAAGAGAGGGCTTGCGTCGGCGGTGGTGGTGGTGGTCCCGGCGACGACGACGTCGGCTACGCCGAAGGTCGATTTGCTGATGGTGGTGGTGGCGGCGCGGCAGAATGTGAGAACCGCGAAAGGAGAAACGAGGCTCTCGCGGCCTTACCGCGCGCAGCTTTAGCGTGAGAGAGAGACGGATCGGCCGTAGAGAGGGATGGCTCGACGTACGTACGTACGTGGCGAGAGACGGCTCAGTACGTACCGCGACGTGGACGCGTCCGTACCGCGCACTCTCCGGCACCGACTCTACCCTTAACTGGGTCAACCCCTCATACGGGATCCTCTGTGCATTAGCCCCACGAGGGAGAGGACGACCTCGGCAGTAGCAGCGCGCCCGCGACCAAAGAACACTCTGCCGTTTCTCCTCTTTTCTTTCCGAGTTCTCCAAGGAAAATCGCCTAGTTCGTATACTGGAAATTTACGGTACTCGTGTCCTCGAATCGGGATAAATTTGCCAACTTTGCGGAAGAACTAAATTCTCCCACTTTGTGTTTAAGCGAATAGTCGAGGGGTGACACGCTGGGAGTTTTTAACGGGAAGCACCTTAAAATCTCACTTCGACGATGGGATTTATCGATAATCTATAAGTAGATTTGCAAAAGGCTCGTCAGAATAATTTCGCGGACATGATTTACGGATCGAACCTAATTAACATGAATTTTCATAAAGACCCTTTCCTCGGGGGTTCGAGCTTTATCGACAGCTTCGACAGCTCGCTTGACAACAGGATCTTCACGTCTACTCTTTCGTCGATCATCGTCTGTATCATAGACGGATCGCGAAAGAGAATCGCTCTATTTTTAAGTTCTCTCTCTCTCTTCTCTCCGAGAGGAGATCTCGTTCCTCCAAAATGTCAGGTAGATAGTGCGACGATAATCGTGTCGACGAAGCGCGACGGATTATTTCGAGTGACGTGCCCGCGGAAATGGAGTCTCTCGCGAGTGCTCGCATTACAATATCGCGCTCTGACGTCTGTCGTTGGCGCTACGTTCGTTCGTCTGCAACCAGGTCAAGTGTGCCCGCACCACCACCGCTGCCTGACCTTCACGGGATTCGGGATCTTTTTTAACCCCGCCGCGCCGGTTGAAGCGCGCCACATTAACCACCGTAATGACGTGACGTTTCGCCAGGTGACATCATAGCGATTTCGGGCAGTCACCCCCGTATAATATTGATTAATGCGCATTCATTCAGGTTTTTCCCCGATTTCTTCTACGTCTATAATAACAGCGACAAATGATTAAAATTGCTCGACTTTTTTAATTTGTCGGAATTTTCTTCAGAACTTTTCTCCGCTAAAATGATTCAAAAGACTTTTTCTATTTCTTGCAATATAACATATAGAAGATCACTAGGAACCCGTGCTGCGAGCGTTATAAATAGTGTTTATCGAGTCGTGACACATCGCGGTATGCTTGAAAAATTCACAAAATTGTCTCGCGGTTTCTCCAGGAGATCTCGGAGCTTCCGAGGTAGATCATAGCATCAGAGGAGCTGTCTTTTATCCGTACATGTTAATCTCTTTGGAGAAATAGCCGGTGCTTCCTACGAGGGTCTCCAAGGATCTCGCTTTATTCCGAGACGCGACGTCGCGGTTCGGAGGACTCGAAGGTCGTCTCAGACATCCCTCGCTAACGCATTCTCTCTTCAGGATCGCGTGCGACTACGTATTTCCGTCGGGAGCATCGTCCGGGAAGATATTTCCGCGCTCGTTTCCAAAAAGAGAGAAAGAGAGAGAGAGGGTAGTAATCTCTGGAGATATGCTTCGGGTAACGGGATACGTTACAGGTCGTGTAAAGTTCTCGTTCATTCTGCCGCGAATCCTTCGATCCACTTCGAGTAGCGTCGTCCACCCAGGATCCTCTCGTAGGGTGTAGGAGCGATAATCCGGCTCCCGAAGAGAGGATCTTTTGAGTAGCGCGATGAAGCGTATAACGCTACTGTAGGAGGGAATTATTAATGATTTGTCGAAAGCGATCGAAGTGACACGCTTGCTAATTGACCGATCAAATTTCACAGCCCGTTTTACTACCTTTTTTCGCCATTTCTAAAGCGCTCGCGCGACTGCTATTCATCACGAGCCTGTATAAAGACCACATTAACGGGAAGTTATACGCTCGATGAACGTATTAATGTTGCTGTTGAAATTTGGGAAATTCAAAGGCGTGTTTTACGCTTTGAATGATTAAACGAGTATTTTTAAAAATAAGTTCGTATTTATATATTATAGTACATAATTAAATTACACGGTCGAATTTTATTTTTATTTTCGTGAATTATATATATCTTCTCGTGTTCACCGTGTGCCATGCATGTTACGGAAACGCGATCGATCGACTTGTACAGGAATATAAACAAAGTGTGAATGCACGCAAATGTGTCGATCGAAGAGGATACATTGGTCTTTATCGAACTTGGCATTTCTTTCAGACGGCAATGAGTCCACTTGTCTGCCGTCGATCAAAGAGGGATTTTCCGTGAGAATTCTCACTCTGCGAGAGCTTCACTTTGAACTCTGAATCCTTTCGAGGACTCGTTGCTGAAAACAGTCATCATTCTTTCTCGACTCTCCTTCGAGACATATTTCACCCGTTATATTCGCTATTATCGATTTCTAAATATTGAATATGGATATTTCTGAATACATTTTTTATATATACCTCGGAAGTAAATGGCTCTTTGAGTGGATACGACACATTGTATTATTCTTATTTTGATTGTGACGCTACATAACATAAATAAATAATAATTTTAAATGTGATTTTAATAATACATTTCCGGATATACTTGTGAATTCAAAATCATTAATTCGCATAATAAATATTTCCCTCGCTTTCTCGACCGATTAATACAATCATTTGTCAAAAATAATTAAATTTATAAATATATTTATAAATATCCATAGATGTAAATTATATTTGAAGCAATAATTTATTTTGATCTGTGAATAATAATTGTAAATGCTCTCATTTTACGTGATCCGTGAAAATTTCACGTGATTATATTTGTTATAAATAACGCGCGGCACTCGGTGTACACAAGTTTACCTTCCATGCGTAGAGAGAATTTTTCGTAAATATTTTTTTTGATGTCGGGCAAAAATATCGAAAATACATATATATATATAACCATACGCGATCGACGAGGACGTTACTTATCTATCCTTAATAACAAGCTCGCTGTCGACGTAATAATTGTAATTGAAATCCATGGTTATCGAGGGCGATCATTTTATTAATATGTCCCTATTACTTTTCACGTAGCAACTATACGAGAAAGAAGGGGAGGACTAAGAGATCGAATGAGAGCGTGAGAGCGTGATCGGAATAAAACAGCAAGAGAACACCGGCAGAAAAGTATTAAAGAGGTGCGAGGACGTTGGCTCATCTCTCTTCTCTCTCGAGAGAGAAGAGGGCGATTCTCGATATCCCGCTAATAGATAGCGGAGGATAAATGCACGGCGATAAAGGATAACTCGGCATGCCCTGGGATAATATCTTCCGCGAAGAGGGTCTTCTTCGATTTTTCCGGCGAGGCGATAGAACCGATAATGTACGTGGGATAATTGAGAGACTCTTATAAGAGTTCCCCAGTGCGTTTTTCACGTCCTTCAAAAAAGTCTCGAGCGCGAAGAAAGTTGTGAGGATATTTATTTATTTTCACGATAGATATTCCGCCGATATGCGAGTTTCAGTGATATGCTACTAGATATTAGCAGCAGCGATCAGTTGAGTGAGATACCTCCGAAGAATTCCATCGCCGAACATCCTGGGCCATCAAGAATCGAGGGTAATTTTTGCATATGTTGAAAACAATATGTCTTGGAATTTAAGTAATTATTTGTAGAATTATATGTGTAGTCACACAATAATGTGTTCTTATATCTCCGCGAAGATGGATCGTAGATTTTTAGCCTTCGCGACACCGAACATACAATACTTATTCGAAAAACCAATGTACGAACACGTATAAATTTTTATTTTCTTCTTTGCTTCTCCCCTTGGAGACATCGTATTTGGCGGAAAGCTACGTACTCTTTTTCTTCTTGAATGAGAATACATTGTGCAATATAGAGAGATCTAACATATGCATAAGCGAATTTTATCGAGGTGAATTTTACGATTTTCATAAATACATATAATTGAAAAATATCAGAAAAATTTTTTATTATATCATATTAATATAATGCATTTTCATTATAATATATCTTTATTATAATAAATATTTTTATTTTGCATTTTCGATTACGTTTCTAAAAATAGATTTATAATCATTAATCTGACCAGACTAGTTAAATATATCAAAAGATTTAAAATCTAAGGTTATTGAACGTGATTTTACGATTTTCATAAATACATATAATTGAAAAATATCAGAAAATCTTTTTATTATATCATATTAATATAATGCATTTTCATTATAATATATCTTTATTATAATAAATATTTTTATTTTGCATTTTCGATTACATTTCTAAAAATAGATTTATAATCATTAATCTGACCAGACTAGTTAAATATATCAAAAGATTTAAAATCTAAGGTTATTGAACGTGATTTTACGATTTTCATAAATACATATAATTGAAAAATATCAGAAAAATCTTTTTATTATATTATATTAATATAATGCATTTTCATTATAATAAATATTTTTATTTTGCATTTTCGATTACATTTCTAAAAATAGATTTATAATCATTAATCTAACCAGACTAGTTAAATATATCAAAAGATTTAAAATCTAAGGTTATTGAACGTGATTTTACGATTTTCATAAATACATATAATTGAAAAATATCAGAAAAATCTTTTTATTATATCATATTAATATAATGCATTTTCATTATAATATATCTTTATTATAATAAATATTTTTATTTTGCATTTTCGATTACGTTTCTAAAAATAGATTTATAATCATTAATCTGACCAGACTAGTTAAATATATCAAAAAATTAAAAATCTAAGGTTATTGAAAAGATGTGTAGATGCATTTTATTAATGTATATCTCGTCTTTTGCGCGTTCTTCGAGCGAAATATGCTTGATCCGCGATAAATAAATCCGGAACGCGCGACTTTTCAACGAGTTCGATCGCGCAGCGAAAAGTCTGGAGAATTTGTGTGACATTCGGCTAACGTTGGTTTTCGCGATGCGCGATAAGTATCGCGGGGATATGCGAGGAAACCGGAAATTCCCGCAATCTGCGATCCCGCATCGATCCCTTTATTCCCTCTTCCGAGCGGATCCGCTTCTGCGCCCTCTCACTCGTTGTTGTGTGCTGCCGGCTCTGCCATTCTTCAGCGCGCATTCTCTTCCATCAAAAGCCTTTCATTTCTTTCGCTCTTGCATTACATCTGTCGTCATTGTTGTTGGAAAGTAACGATCCGGCGATATATTTGCGCGAGATGTAGATTACGAAATCGACTTGTTCATGTCAAGCTTGATTAATATATTAAATAATAAGAACGTAGATATTTGAGAATCGCCAGACAGAATTTAAAAAAAGGTAAGAATCTTCTCTCGACCGTACTGGCAAATATTATTATTATAAATATTAATTATTAAAAAATATTATTAATATAAATATTAATTTTAAAATTAAAATTATAATTTATTTTTATTTTTACAAATCACTTGATAAGGACTCAAAGAAGGGTCGAAACGTTGTGATTGAATAAATAATATTTGCCAGTACGGTCGAGAGAAGATTCTTACCTTTTTTTAATATATTAAACATTTATTCCAATTTCATTTTAACTTTTTTTTATAATATATATGTCATTTTCATGTGCACTATGTGTAAATATTTTTACACTATTAATATTTTTTTAATTATAAAATATTGTAACGTTATATTTGCAAATGTGTAAATAACAATGATATTCAAGTAATAAATTTGAAAAAATGTGTATCTTTTTCATTATTTATTTAATGATAAAAACGTGCAAGCATTATATTTTTAATATTTGTAATATTTGAACATTTTTATTATTATTTCAATATTTTTGTATGTATTACATGTGCATTTTAATATCATTTATTTGTATGTTCTATTCTATTACGGTGAAAGAACTTACTACCTCATACATGGAAATTTTATCTACAATAAGCTTAGCCATTTGTTTCACCATCAATTCGCTTTTTCTCTTCAGTTTTATTATTTGTCTTGTGCTTTTCTTGTATCGGTCGTCTTCCGTTTCTCTTTCTTCTTCCGTGTACTTTCATCTGAAAATATTCATGGGAGTAAGAAGAGCAGGAGAAGTTATTGTATGCCGTGAAATACTTTTCTAGGATCAGCCACGTTGATCCTTTTACTGCCGGTTCGATAAGTTTCGAACTTTTGCACTTTCCTCGTGAAAATTTCTTCTCTACCATTTCTAAAAATTCTTTCTATATATATTTGAAAATATATCATTATATTTTCAAAGCCAAAGTAATGCTCTCATAAACGCAAAGAGAAGATGATTCTTCATGATCTTTATCGAATGATACTTTTCAATATTTTTTTATATTCATTATAAATACGTTCTTGTATTTTAATTTAATTATTAATTTGTCATTTTAGAGGGATCTAAATACAAGATGTTTAAGTAAAACATGATCATCTAGAAGATTTTTCATGAAAAAATTATTCACGAAGAACTTGCTTTTTCCTCTTTCTTTTCTTACATTTTACAATATTTGCAAAGGAATCTATGGCAAGGAGTAATATGATTACGAATCTTGTTTTCTCGTCTGAAAATATTTTATTTGTCAAATTTCGTTTCCCCTTACGAGCTCCAAGACAAAGGCATATGCTGCAGACAATCGTAGGATTTTCAAGGATCAGTATCGATGATCCTTTTATTTCTAGTTCGATAAATCTCGAGCTTTGGCAGATTCGCCGCGAAATTTCTTCGCAATCGCTATACTGTAAATCTTTCGAACTTTACCTTTTTTCTGGTCTGGGTCACATTCGGATAAGAACAATGGGAGTCGTGTTTGCTCGAATCTTTAGGATCTCGTCCCTTTTTTCGTCGCTTCAAAATACTGTTTCCGCGCGAAAGAAGCTCGATGTACGAAGTAGGGGCAACCTCGGACGTTTTTCCCTTTTGAATTCGATAAATATCCAACTTTTGACATTTTTAGTACACGAAACTTCTTTAGCCGTCTTTAACGCGTGCGTATAAATCGTTTCGACTTTTCTCGATTCGATATCTCCCATTGAAACAACACATCGCGCTTATATACATGTTCGTAAAAGCCGCAGTCTCACTTATTACAGCTTCCTCGCGCAAAATTGTGCTTACGTCAGACGAGGTGTTGCGATATTTTTTTTTTTTTTTTTTCATTTCATCTTTCTCACATCTAAACGTGTTTTCGTCGAGCGTTGCAGTTTCGTTCTTAACGGAAAACTTCCCCTCAACAACTCCGCGTTCGGTTTGCTCGATAAATCTCGAGCGTTCGAGCGATAATCCATAAATCTCGCGTCGGCAAACTCTCGTCTGTCAACTTTTCGACATCTTGACCGCAAAGCATCGACGCAGTCTCGCTCGGGAAGAGAGCCGTTTCGGACTTTTCCTCGCTTCGTCTCCTCTCTTTCGGGGTGAAAATATTTTTACAGAGGCCAGAAGTTTTCGAAGCTTCGCGCGCTCTCTCGGCCGGCGTCGTCGCGTCGTCTCGCTCTTGTAACTATCAGTCCGATAAATCTCCAACTTTGGGAAGAAGCCGCCATGTTCCATAAATTTGCCAACCCGTTTTCCCTGTGAACTCTCTCTCTCTCTCTCTCTCATCGTCGCCCGACTTTTCCGTGTCCTGACCGCTGTCTCGTCTATTGTACGTATGATAACGCTGTTCCATGCCGAGTTTATAAACGTGTCTCTTATGGAGTCTCTTCGATGTCTTCTTCCTTTCTTCGTCCCTTCTCGCAAGCTCGATCCCTGCTACAACACGTATATAGTCGAGTATCTAATAAGTTATAAATTAAAAGGCCAACTTAACGAGCTAATTAACCCTTAGTCCCGACGGTTCTTTTCGGCACCTTTAATCCCGACTCATGGGTCGTTTGCGTCTTTGCGTTATTTGGATCAGTAAAAACGCTTTAAAAAAATCTGAAGAAATTCATGGAGCTTCTTGCAACCTTCAACTTGAAGTCCCAATCATAATATTTCGATAAAAATTATTTTTTTATATAGTTTGTTATTAAGAAATGAAGGTACCTAACGGAGGTTTCGAAATTTCGTTTGGGTCGCAAACGACCCATGAGTCGGGACTAAGGGTTAATTAGGTGTTAACAATTTATTCTACGTCATGAAAATAATACAAATAGATAATTAGTAAACGTTTCAACTGTACGACAGTCTTTATCAATACAAATATCGCTTTGCTAACATCTCTCTAAATTAAATAATTTGGAAAGACAGAACTTATATCATACATGTAAAATATATAGACTTATAATATGAAAAACGCAGTATAACACATTATAATTGTTGGCTTGCATCCGATTTCTGTAGTTCTTTTTAAATAAACGTCTAATTTTGTAATCCACGATGTAATAATGATATGTAATGAGATCTATGTCGAGTATCTATCGGTTAGTTCTCATCTCAATTTTTTCCCGTCGTATTCGACTGCGGAATCCAGCTTGCTTGGCAGTTTTCGAGGACAAAATTTCCTCGGCATATAAATGCGCCACGACAGCACGAGCAGAAGCGATGCAACCGAACTCGTCTGCGATTCCCGTAACAAGCTCTCTTCCAACGCAGAAAGTGCCGACGTTCACGATGTAAACTTTGCAAAAAAGTTTGCACATTGTATTTTATGTATACGAGCTGCTATATATGCGCGGCGAGTCGCCGTAAAAGATTCGTTTGCAATGCACTTTTCATTGTCGATGAATATACAAGCCGGTGTACGTAAAACGCGACCGTATAAACCAAATTTATCGGTATCATCGGCGCGATGCATTTTTCTTCGCGTTCTCTCGCTTTTCTCGTACCTACGTGCCTTATGAAAAGGCAAAGGGGGCCACGTTAAATTCGATAACGCTCCTCCGAGCTCTAAAGCTGCTCTCGGCCGCGTTAGATTTTACCTTCGCCCCGTGTTGCCTTTCGGAAAGCGAGGAATTTGAGGACAGTATCCCAATTTACGAGGCGGCTTTGCGTCCCGGCGGAAAACTCGAAAATGACTCGACGTAATCCTCGTAAATTTCGCGAACCTCGGCCGGAAAAAGGAAAACAAAGGGAGAATCTCGATGGAGTTCTCTTCCTCTGCCTACTTTCTCTACTTATCAGTGGCAGACGCTGCCCGACTCCCGTGGGAGAAATTTTTCTCTCCGCGGACAAAGAGTAAAATTTTTACGAGCCTCTTGGCCGGCGGAAAATCGAATAAACTCTCCAACTTGGACTCGTGATTAGGCGGAATCGAAATCAATTTATTTCAAAGTATGTCGTCTGTATGGATATCTCGAAGAAGAGATTTAAGATCGTGCTATTCCGCGGAATCATAAAATTTTATAATACGCTTCAAATTATTACAAGACTATTCTTTTTTTTTCGGGATTGTTAGATAAATAAATAGTGTTGGATAAATAAATAGTGTCCGTTTGAAGAAAAATTTTTTTGAAAAATATCAAATATTATTCGTATACACATACAGAGTCGATGCATATAAATATTTGAAAAAAAAGAAAAAAAAATCAATTTTAACTTTAGTGAATCAATAAATGGGAAGTTTTTCTATACATATTTTATTGTATAACATACACGTTTATTTCACATTTGCGATTAAACATTACAAAGTCTACTATTTCTGAAACAGTGCTTATCGTATCGTATATTTAACCCCGATTTCCACGCTATAATATAACACGCACAAGAGACCCACGCTCTCTCGCAATTTTGCCTTATACATATATATATATATAAATATGATTTCGAACTGGAAAATTTATAATTTTAGTAACATGTTGATACCAAACGTTTAACACCGACATAGATTTTAAGTAGGGATTATAGAGGAAAATTGTTATAATAGAAAATTTTGAAAATTAAAGTAGAAAACTACTGCTTAAAAATAATATTAAGTTATAAATGTACGTCGATAATTTTGGAATTTATGTTTTGCAGGATTTAAATGCTATTTAATTCACAATCAGACATAAATAAAGTTGTAGCAACACATTTGTTATCAAACTCTTCTCATTTACATACCTATACATTTATAAGATACGTATATATGTTCAACATTATTTGTACATTATCGTTTGAAAATTTATTTGTAAATATTAAAGTTATCATAATATAATATCCTCGACAACTTTGTATTACTCGCTTTCCAAACATTACAGTTTTCGAATTTGGACTTTAGTAGTAGTATGTTTATTTGATCGCGTTATAATCCTTTTTAACCGTAATCTATTTTATTGCTTGCAGAAAGTGCTGTATGTTTGTGAAGCTCGTGGTTCGCGTCGTTCGCTCTCCTTCAGCTTTCATGTTAAAAGCAAAATTGCGCGCATCGACATCTCGAAATCACCTCTCGGACACGTCGACATCGTGGTGCTCGTGTAAAGGAGAATAAATCATTAAAAAAGGAGCATCGAGGGAAGGTGCGATCATCACTCGGCATGAAGGGTGAGTCTATTTGCGTACATATCTTTAATCTCTTTCCATTATTTCACCATCATTACAATTACAAAGTATAATGCATCACGATTGCGTCGTTGGAAATTGCTATCTGCTAATTGATGAAATGTTTATCAAGTTTTATGCAAAAATTCAGTTTTATATATTACAAGGATTAAGCATATACATGCTTAAAAGCGACATTTTTTAAAGCAGTAAAAGTGATTTATTAGGGCCCCAGAATTTTTTTTTTTCTAAACAGATGCTTGACACAGTCGAGCAACGAGACAAGCAATCAAAAAGCAAAAGCACGCTCGAATATTTTGTCGATGTGGCCGCGTCCCAGGAGTCATATGTGTGCATGTGAAACGGAATAAACGATGATGTGGGTGTATGTACTATATACGTACATATATATGCGCGTTCAGTTCGTTGCTTCATGAACAGTCGGTTTGATGAATTACATTGAATGACGATTTATTTCTCATGCAAATAAATTTTGCGGCGCGCGATTTAATAATGCCGATAAAAATCCTTCTCGCACGGCATCGCTGCGATATGCGTTATATAGTTTAAATTCGTTGCGTGCGAATTGTTGTGTTGGCGTAGAAGCATATGCGAGATTTTAATCGCGTAATAATATACACAGCGCGAGCGATTTTTTTTAATTTTATTTCTTGTCGAATTGCCCCGTATTCGTTTAAAAATAATATATATATATACACGGAAAAAAAATTAGCTACCATAGCTAAATTTTAGCTGTCCATATATTACACATGAAATTTAGTTATCATGCTTAAATTTTAGCTATGACAACTAATATTTTTTAGCTATAACATTCTCCGTTAAGCTATGGCTAAAAAATATTAGTTACTGTAGCTAAAATTTAGGCACGACAACTAAATTTCAGGTTGTAATATATGGACAGCTAAAATTTAGCTATGGTAGCTAATTCTTTTTTTCCGTGTATATATATATAGTTAATAATATAATATTGATTGCAGTTAAAATCACCGATTTATTCGAATCTTCAATCTTCTACTGTTTCACTATCCAAATGTCCTGCTATTCGAATGTATTTTACTACTCAAACAGAATGTTTTGTCGTGCAACATCTCCTTCTCTTATCGAAACAGGAATATTTCAAGCGATGTTTACTTTCTAAACTCGTGAAGCTGTGCCTTCTCGCTCACATCCAAGGTATTAAACGGAGAACTTAGATGGTTAAAGAATTTATAAAAATAACTTAAACATGTTAAAAATAATATATACATATATAATTTCTTTAAATATATCTACTGTTTCTTTATGAAAATTAATCACGTCCAATAAGATCATTTGGTTCAATTATCTGGAAATTTAATTATTTCCGATCGTTTGTATCGCTCTATTAATTTGGATAATAATTTCACCAGATTGCAAAATAGTATATATAGGTATATATATATTCGCGAAAATATCATACGGTTACTTAGTTATCAAAATTATATTTCACGCGCTGCCGAGATGTCAATCAAAATGCAAATTCGCGATTCAGCAGCAACATCGCAGTGCGATGAGTACGATTTCGCATGGCTGCGTGGTTAGTAAATTACACTCTTTGATGGTTTGGGCGTTCCCCCGGAAGTATGTATCAAAGTTCCCCGGCGGCGATGCCGTGAAAATTTCCGGAATTTGGTCCTCGCGAAAAGCGAATCTGGCGGCGAGGCATATTATGCGGCCATAGAGTAACAGCTGTTTTGCATAACCCAATTAGCCGGCGGCGCGTGCATACAGGATTAAGCTTAACGTTTTATTGACGTTGAAAATCGCTGGTCACTCTCCATTTTTTTTCATCTTCGGCCATTAAGCTTTCGGCCTTTTTTCCCGTCACGATTATGTATATCTTATTATATTATAAAATAAATATTTAATCAGTTTTCTTCGTGATCCGCGATATTATCCGACAATTTGTAGAAGATCCTCAATTAAGAAGCGGCCGAGCAGTGACTTGTCATTCATTATTCATAAACTGTAAGCCATTTGAGCCCCCCATGCAGTAGGCTTTATTAAAACCTCAGTTTTCCCAAAAAAGCAGTCTGCTAGCACGAACACTAATTAGCAAATGGTCGTCTATATTCCCGGGAGAAAAGTCAACATTCGAACAAATCGAGAAATTTGAGAGATAAAATAGAATCTACGTGATAGGTCAGAGCAAATAACGCATTGAACAAATTCTCATCTGTGCGCGTTAGGGAAAAAATAAATAATTTCTTCGGAATTATTCATCGCAAAATTGAATTATTTTCCCTTGGAAGGAAAATTAATTATTGGTAATGCAAACACTTAGCTATATTATATTCCAATTTTCTTCCCGCTTAATCTCTTTCCCGTTACTTTTTACAACGTTACTTTACGATAATAGAAGTCAACTGAATCGTCGGTGAATAATCGAGTTGACGAATAACGTGCTACAACAACAGAGTGTTTCGTTCATTTGCGTATGACGTGTCTTCGGACCATGTCGAATAATCGAATATGAAGTAATTGGCGCGATTCAAGTTGCGTCCCGACGCTCTAATCGAATCTTGTCTCTGCCTATTATAATTAATAATCTTGTGCGCTCAATTGGCCTCCTGGTGCATTCGCGAAATTCGCCAAATTTGCTAGATCAAATAACAACATGACGGAATTCCTTTATTAACGATTACATTTTTCCGTGCAATTGAAATATCTTTATTGAGCTATTCAAAATTGATTCGCCAATAAATTGTTAAATATTTAAAATTTGTTAAAGAGAAAAAAATATTACAATATATAAATATATTTGATAAAATAGAACGTTGACAAAAATATTTTTAATTTTTAAAATTATCAAAATAATTACATTAATGATTTTAATTAATCGCGAAAAAAATACCGCTATTCAAATCATACGAAATAAAAATATTTTGTCGCATAAAGCTATTCATATACACATATATTTAAGAAACTGTTTTGTTATCTTGATTTTTAAAATTATTAAAATAATTACATCGCAAGTTTTAATTAGTCACAAAAGGGCGTAAAAAAAAATAAGAAACCGATTTTAATTTTTAGATACAGAAGCACAATAAATATGGCACTATGTATGCCTAGGAATAGCTTTTAGCTGCTTCAATCGGGCGTAGCTTGATACGAAGTGCAAATGCCTATGCGACTGATCCCACGATTAACTGTCACCCTTATGTGACGGTTATTTGTATGCGCGTGTATGTATATATTGCCAACGCAAACGATATATCGCGATCGCAAATCCGATACTGAATTATCCCGATGATACCGTGTAGAATCGGTTCGCGTAACACGACTCGTATATGCATGCATCGTCCGTAAATTGCATATTGCCTGTTTTCTGTGTCTCCGCGTCAACGTTCATAAACTCAATTAGTGTTTTTTTTTTTTCATGCTTTTTGAGAGTTGGCGAATTGCGCAAGCGTTTGTTCGCTGAAATTCATCAGATCCCTCTCGTCGATTTCTCATCTTTCGCAAAAATTGGGGCATAAACTAAAACTAAAACATCCACGACGTACCTCTTCTGTCAATGAATGGGTGTTCGGGATTCAAAGTAACTTTGAATGTTAAAAATTTGTTCGGAACTTTTCTTCAAAAGACCTTTCAAGAATCTCGTCAAATATAAAAGAATGTTTGATGCCCAGCGCAGCTGCTATAAAGAAATTGGCGCAGTACAATGTGTCGAAACATTGATGAAAAGGATGAAAATTATGCATTGGCAGAAGGATTAACATAGCATATTTTAATTAAAAGAGTAATTTTAATACGAAATAATTATAGGGACTTGAATTGTGTAAATATGAAATTATAATAATTGAAAAAGATACTTTGCGAGCGAAATTTCCTATTTTAGACTCCAAAGATAAATACAAATTAAATATGAACTAGTGTGTCCACAAGCATCATCGGCGCAATAAAGTTGATCACGAAGCTGCGTATTTTTCTTACTTCGCTCGCGTCATTACGCCGAAATGCGAGTATCACACACTCGATAATAAATTATTCTTGGCAATTTACGGCAGTCCATACTGCTCGCATGGACGATAAATTGTTCCCGTTGTTTTTGCCGCATAATATAAACGGCGGTATGCGCATGAATTTACATCACGTTTTAATTACGTCTTCCTGTGACGAATATTTTGCTCGGAGCGGAGTGCGAATGTTCCGCAAATATTTGTCTCGCCCGGTTTTTAAATGCGCGGGGTGATGATTGCGCGAAATTTTCAACAGAAAAGACGCTTTGCATAAACCGCGCAGTTGCGTGCCGCAGTTCGCGTTGCAATTGCATCCCCGTTATACGGGGGAGGGGTTGCATTTTAAAGGCAGGTGTCGGAAGTGCTTAAAAGTTTTAAAACTGCATCGCCTCGCGATCTAAGAAAAACTTTCCTCATCGCGATGCAACGTTTCTATATGGTATGTATATGGTTTGTATACATTGCTTTTAATTATCTGAATTCATGATGTAATTTCTACAATGTTGTTTGTGCTGTCTTCTGGGGAGGAAATATAACTCGTGTAAAATGTCTTTTTAAATTTATTCCACATTTACACAACTCGAATTTTTTCTTTCTACTATTATTTGCAATTTATTAGCTTTAATTCAAGTTATCTTTCTTATCTCTCATTTTTTGCTAATATTTTAATATCGTTATAGGTTTAATATTATATATACATTTTCTCATCATTTACTGCTGTTTTTTTTTGTATTAATTATGATTTTGAAATGAAGATTGAATAAACTTAATTAAGTTGTGATTGATACACAAAATCAATCTTTATTTATTTTTCATTATCTCTCAACTAGAAAAAACACATATGAATATGAATTACTACGAGAAATAAATCATATAGATTTTAGCAAAGGATATAGAAATATTATTATTATTATTATTATTATGTTCAGTTCTTAAACTGTCTTAAAGGAATGAATTGGGGAGCATTGACGAAAAAGAAGCGTCTGACAGAGACGGATGAAC